GCGCAGGCTTTGCTTAGGGGGATCTCTGCTTAGGGGCCTCTGCATTTCTGCTGAGTAGGGGAGTGGTGTGGAAGCACCTGGTGGTTAGTGATGAGAGCTGCCCAGCACAATGAGCGTAACCAAGGTCACTGAATCATACACATGAACAATGGTGAATTGGCAGAAATTTTGTCATATATAGTTTCAACACACACACACACACACACACACACACACACACAGGATTTTGGGGGGAGGAGGTGTTGGGTTTTTTGTTTGTTTGTTTTTTAAAGAGATCCATAAACGCTGAATGACTCAGGGAATTCAGACCCGTCTAGTACCTAAGGGAAGACGCTCAGGAGCCCTGGTGGTGTGATAACAACACATTGGGCTGTGAGCCACAAGGTCAGCTGTTTGAAACCACACAGCTGCTCCATGGGAGAACAGGGCTTTCTGCGCCTGTAGACAGTCACAATCTTGGTAAACTCACAGGGCAGTTCTACCCTGCACTAGGGGCTCGTTATGAGTCAGTGTTGAATTGATGGTAGTGAGTTTTTCTGACCAATACAATGATTTAATGTTTTAATCACATGAGACCCACGGACTCCTGCTGTCCTATCAGAAGGCCAGGCTACAATCCTTAATCAGCATAACCTCCTGAAGCCACCTTTCTAGCACTGCCAGAACACCAGACTCCCTGCCATCAAGCCATTGACCCCACAGGGCCATCAGAGTTGCCCCTGGGGTTCTCTGAGACTAACTCTTTACAGGAGTAACAAGCCCTGTCTTTCTCCTGGGGAGGGAATGGTGGTTTTGAACTGCTGACCCACCTGGGCTCCTTTCTAGCACTTCAAAGCCTTCTGACTCCCTTTCTGGGCTGCACTGCCATCCAGGGGCGGGCTACCAATGAGCAAGGTAAACATGGGCTTCCACAGCCTGTGTAGCCCACAATCCACAGGTTGTGCCCGCATGAAAGGTCCTGCCTCTAGGCCTGACAGGCCTGTCTCTCCCAGCCCCACAGCATCCTCCTACAGAATCAAAGCCTCTTTTCAAATCCACAAGCCTTAGTGGCATAACAGTTACGCATTGGGCTGCTAACCACCAGGTCAGCAGTTCAAAACCACCAGCTGCTCCTCGGGAGAAAGAGGAAGCTTCGCACACCCATACAGAGTTACCGTTCCGGAAGCCCACGGGGGCAGGCCCACCGTGCCCCATGGAGCTGCTGCAAGTCGCTATCAGCTCTGTGGGTGTGTGTTTGCAGATCGTTTGGGTTTTTTTGAACAGGGATGGGGTCCCCGGTAAACAAGGTAGCAGGGGCTTCCTGTTACACTCAGTCCAGTTTTGCCTGCAGGGCCACAGGGCAGGGGGGCCGGCATGTCAGGAACCAGAACTGGCCAAACCCCAAGGCACTGCACCAATGCTGGCTCCCAGCGTTCTAGGTCAGCAGCCCAAGGCACGCCCACGGTGCCACCAGGGCTCCTTGTGAGGGTCCCGAGGTGGCCAGAAGAGTTTCTTCCCTCCTAAGCATGTGGGATTATAAAGAGACTTTTCCCCAGCTTTGTCTCCCCCAAAGATATGCCAAACATTAGAGGCTATTTGCCAGCATGTGATGGGAGGTCAGAAGCTTAGAGACAGCCTCCCTGAAGGCAGTCAGTTGCCAGACTACTGTCTGGTCCCACCACCAGAGGGGCCCGCTCCCTGCTGTTAAGGACAATGGGCTACTTGCAGGCCCCGCCCCCTGTAGGTGGGGTTTACACCTGCTGATAATGATTTCTATAGAGAGCCAGAGAACAGGTCAAACCTGCTCAGTGAGGCCTGTCTGGATAGGACAGGCTGGATGAACAATCTGGAGGAGAAAACAACAGGACTGACAGTTCTGGGGGG